GATTTATGTCTATGTTCTTAAGAGTTTTATAGTTTTAGCTCCAGCATTTAGATTTTTCATCCATTTTGAGTTAATTTTTGTGTATGGTGTGAGGCAGGGGTCTGAACTCTTTCTTTTGCATGACTGTTTTCCCCATTCAACTCCACTATTAAATATGTTCAGGTCTTGCAGGTGAACACAAATGTGAGGGTTTATTTCTGGACTCTCAGGACTCTTACTTATATTTCATTGATCTCTATGTCCTTATGCCAGTGCCACACTGTCCTGATTACTGTAGCTTTGTAGTAGTTTTTGAAATTGGAAGTGTCATTCCAACATTGCTCTTTTTTTTTCTTTTTGAGGAAGGGTCTTGCTGTGGCACCCAGGCTGGAGTGAAATGGCATGTTCTTGTTCACTGTAATCTCTACCTCCCAGGTTCAAGTGATCCTCCCACCTCAGCTTCATGAGTAGCTGGGACTACAGGTGCATGCCATCATGCCTGGCTAATTTTTTGTAATTTTGTAGAGATGAAGTTTCACCATATCGCCCAGGCTGGTCTCAAACTCCTGGAGGAGTAATCTTCCCACATCAGCCTCCCAAAGTGCTAGGATTACAGGCATGAGCTACCACATACCTGGCCTACCACATGCCTGGCCCATTGTTATTATTTTTCAAGACTGTTTTGGCTTTTCTGAGTTCCTTAAATTTCTATATGAATTTTAGGATCAGCTTGTCGATTTCTGTAAAGAACCAAGTTGGAATTTTGATGGAGGTTGTGTTGAATTTGAAGATGAGTTTGGGAAGTCTTGCCATCTTAACAGTATTAGATCTTTAGATCCATGAACATTAGTATTTTTCCATTTATTTATGTTATCTTTAATTTCTTTCAACAATTTTTGGTAATTTTCAGAGTATAAGTTTTGTACTTCTTTTGTTCCTAAGCCTTTTATTCTCTTTGATGCTAGTATACATTATTTTCATAATTACATTTTTTTTTTATTCCTGGCAACTTTCATTTAACATAATTACATTTTTGAAGTGTTCATTGCAAATGTGTAGAAATGCAATTGATTTTTGTACATTGATCTTGTATCCTGCAACTTTGCCAAACCCATTTATTAGTTATAACATTTTTTTTAGTTGATTCTTTAGGACTTATTTATTTATTTACTCTTTGAGACAGAGTCTCACTCCATCACCCAGGCTGGAGTGCAGTGACGCAATCTTGGCTCACTGCAACTTCTGCCCCCTGGGTTCAAGCTATTCTCGTGCCTCAGCCTCCCAAGTAGCTGGGGTTACAGGCACATGCTATCACACCTGGCTAATTTTTGTATTTTTAGTAGAGAAAAGTTTTTGCCATGTTGGCCAGGCTGGTCTTGAACTCCTGACCTTAAGTGATTCACCTGCCTTTGCCTCCCAAAGTGCTGAGATTATAGGCGTGAGCCACTGTGCCCAACCAGGATTTTCTACGTGTAAGATGATGTCATCTGCAAATAGAGATAGTTTTACTTCTTCCTTTGCAACCTGGATGATTTTATTTTCTTGCCATTGTATCCAGTACAGTGTTGAATATAAGTCGTGAGACTGGACATCCTTGTCTGGTTGCTGGTCTTGGGGAAAGCACCCAGTCTCTCACCATGAAGTATGATACCAGCTATAGGAATGCTCTTCTTAGAGCCTCCTGAAAGATTGGCTGGTTTACATCCTCAGTTCCAGCAGTGTACAAGCAAGAGGCCTAGTCCCCCGTCCCTTGCCAACACAGTGACCCCAGGCTTTAGAGGCGAAGAGCTCAAGCCTGGGAGGGAAGTGCTGCGTGCCATGTCACACAGACAGCGACCTACAGCCCAGCCGTCCACGTGCACTGGGAGTGAGCCCTGGACACTCAGCCTTCTCTTCCCTGGGGTGGGATGACTTGAGACCCCCGAAAAAAAGCATTGGTACAGAGGAACTTCTGGGTTCTATTCTTGTCTCAATCACTGACTGGCTGTGGGGCTGTAGGCAAGTCACTTCCCCCTGGGCCTTGGTTTTCCCATCTGTGTAGTGGAAAGAGTGGTCCATCTTGAAATCTTCCAACTCTGAGGTTCTCTCTGCCCCACCCACCCTTAAATTCACAGTGGCTTCAGCATCCACCACTGCCCAGAGCAGCCACCAGAGGGCGTTCCAGACCAGCATTTGGCCCAGCTTGGGTGCAGGGTGCCCTGGGGAGGCTGAGAACAGGGCCTATTTTCCAGGAGCTGCTAGCTGTGCTTGCATAGACTTCCTGTGGTCAGAGCTGCCCGTTCCTCTGGCTGAGCTCTGATCTCCAGGAAGGGAGTGATGGAGGCACCATCCCCAAGACCAGTGACCTAGCACTCACCCTGCCCGCTTTGGGTTGCCGCCTGAGTCTCAGTGTTCATAGCATTAGGGCTGGCAGCCTTGTGTCTCTCAGCCTTGGGAGGCTTCCATTACCTCTGAGCGGGCCTCTCACTGGTGCTGCCTCCTCTCTCCACCAAATTGCCTAGCAGCAGGAAGCCCCCAGACTGGTGGGTGCCTGGCCACCTGGAAGGGGGACCTCAATACCCTTTGTGGATGTGAATGCATTCATGCTGGGGGCCTGGACAGTGTAGTCTCAAAAACCACAGCATCTGGGACTCCTAGATACCTCCTGGATAGATCCCAGAACCATAGAAGCAGGCATCACAGACGTCAGGGACCACCCAGAACTTCCCGAAACACCAGAGGAGGCTCCATCAGCACCCCCATGACCCCCCACCCCCACCCGTGCTGATTTTACCCTTCAAATAAAATCAAAACCTTTGCTTTGAAAATTGAGCTCCAAGACACAGCAGCATCTCCCTACCATCCCAAGAGCCTCACCCCAGCCCCTTGCATGGAGGGCTGCTGGGCACCCCCCAGTGCCAGGCATATTTGCTTTTTTGCTTTTTTTTTTTTTTTTTTTTTTGAGATGGAGTCTCATTCCTGCCAGGCTGGAGTGCCGTGGCTTGATCTCGGCTCACTGCAACCACCACCTCCCAGGTTCAAGCAACTCTTCTGCTTCAGCCTCCCAAGTGGCTGGGATTACAGGCACGTGCCACCATGCCCAGCTAATTTTTGTATTTTTATTAGAGATGGGGTTTTACCATGTTGACCAGTATGGTCTCAATCTCTTGACCTCGTGATCTGCCCGCCTTGGCCTCCCAAAGTGCTGGGATTACAGGTGTGAGCCACCGCGCCCGGCCACATTTGCTTTGCATTCTAGTTATTTGTATGTGTGTTTTCTCTCCCCTTCCAGACTGGGGTCCCCTTGAAGGCAAAGTGAGTCTCAGATTCATCGTAGTCCTTTCCAGGGGTCTTGTTCATGACCCTGAATCCAGTAGGTGCCCAATAAATGTCAACATAGGAATCCAGATCCCATCTTCTCCTCACTCAAGGGATCCAGGGCTGCCTCTTTTCTTCCCCAGCGATGTGGCTTTGGGGAAGTCACTTAAACTCTCTAATCCTCCTCCTCGGAGTGCCAGACTGCAGCTGCCACATGCAGAGGTAAGACTCAGACAGGCTGGGTGCCAGGCCACCCCCTAGTTCCCCAGACCTTTCAAATGGCAGTGGCTGGCTACTCAGGTTAGACCAGATGCTGTGCTGGACACTTCAGCTTTGTTATCTCTCCTAGTCTTCTCAGGGACACTTTGAGGTGGGCGGCATTGCCATCTCCGGCCTTGCCGGGGGGACACCCAGGCATGTGACAATGAACTCCCTTGCCTGAGGTCACGCTGGTTGGCAAAGGTGTTTGAGCCTACAGCCCTGCTTTGAACCGACTCGGGGCAGGGATGAGCAGCTTCTGGAGTTTTCCTGTCCCCCCTATAAGAATCTCCAAAGCTCAGAGATCATTTGCTCCAGTTTTCTCTTTTCTTTTCTCGAGATTGAGTTTTGGTCTTGTTGCCCAGGCTGGAGTGCAACGGCATGATCTCGGCTCACCGCAGCCTCTGCCTCCTGGTTTCAAGTGATTCTCCTGCCTCAGCCTCCCGAGTAGCTGGGATTACAGGCGCCCGCCA